CTGGCAGCCTTGCAACTGGCACAAACTGTGTAGCCAGCCCGTGGCCCTTTAAGGGCTCTGGGGCCGGGAGGGGGGCAATAGAGTTTCCCTGGTGTTGGCCAGAGTGGCCACCAGGGAAACCTGGGAAGCCTTAGCCTCCCACTAGTTCGAATTAAGGGGCTACACAGCCCTTAATTCGAACTAGCTAGTTCAAACTAGGCTTAATCCTCGTAAAATGAGGTTTACCTAGTTCGAACTAAGCGCTCCGTTAGTTCGAATTAAGTTCGAACTAACGGAGCGCTAGTGTAGCGCCTATCAAAGTTAGTTGGAACTAACGTCTGTTAGTTCAAACTAACTTTGTAGTGTAGACATACCCTAGCTATTTATTTGGATCTGCACATCCTAAACTCAAAACTCCGGTCATCTGAAGAAGTGGGCTGTGCCCACGAAAGCTCATGACACCATCTACATGTTTTGTTAGTCTATAAAGCACTACCTGACCATTTGTTGTTTTTTCCTGTACAGACTAACTCGGCTACCCCCTGAATCTTCTGTTTTCAAAGGCATTGATGATTCCAGCAGAGGTGAGGCTGATGAGATCTGGACCAGTGCCTGAGAGCACAGTCACTGTGCAACCCTCTGAAAGAATACAGCCTACTCTCCTCTGTGCCAAGTTGGAGTGTATGAAGGAGGTGGAGAAACAAGATCATACTCTGCTGAGTGTAAGTTCTGCTTTTCGCTAGAGAAATTCAGACCTCTATCTGGTGACACCTTTTTGCTCTATGAATGCAAGGGCTGGAACTTTCCTGAGCCCCTGTGTGTGGCTTTTCTCAACATATCTCTCAACTGTCCTTCCTGTTTTATTGATGTATACTCTTTGTTAAGTATTTATCAGTCCTACTGTTGGCATGTCTGGAGGACTGAGCCAGACAGGACAATAGTCAGGAGCATGGGCGTCAGGAACTGAAGTGAAACCAGGGATCAGAGGTAGTATCAGCTAAGAGTCAAGATGAGGGTCAGAGATAGGAAAAAGGTCAAGGCCAATATCATTTTGCAATTCCAGAGGTCAACAGGGAGTCATCAATGCCAGTTCAGAAGCAGGGCAATCATGGCAGCTAGTTAGGAATCCATACTGTTACTGGACACTTCCAGGTATACCCCGTGGGCTCATGTATGATCAAGAAACCAATCAAGGATTGCTAAAACAACTGTTAATCAGATTATTCAAGGCGGAGTATCCCATGGTGTACAACTTCTATAGATTGTGGGTCTCAGAACACAGTTATGTTACAGCAGACCACAGTGGAAATGCTGGTCTTCTGGTAAACTTGCAGGCCCAGGGTCAAGACCCTGACACTGACAGCATGTGAAACAAATTACTCAGAGGTAGATGATATGAACCCGCTGGACTACAGTTTCAGCTGGAGTAAATTTACATAGCTCTTACAATTTCAGTTTGCATCAGCTGAAGATTTGGCTATCCAAACCTGCATATTCATCTCAGTGTAATGAACTGACTTGTGAGTAAATATAGGTATCAAACATTGCCCTCTGCTGGCTATGAAATCAAACCTGCTTAAGTGTTTATAAATGCTGCACTGGGAGTGTCATATGACAAATAACACACCTCTCTCTATGTATTCCCTTTCTAAATTTTAGTCTCTTCACAAACTACAGTGATGACCTCCTAAGTTGTCCCTAATTTGTACAAACAAATTACAGATTTTGTTTTAAAAGGAATAAAATAAACTACTTCAACTACTAGGCAATTCCCCATCTACACTGTTGTCTGCCTGGTGTCTTAAAAAGCAGCATTATTAGTATATATTATGATGTTTATTATGGTACTTAGCTGGGGGCAAATTTTGGATTTGTAGTGTGAACAGGACTTTCTCCCAAAAACCATGTAAGATCATTACCTGGGCTGTAACATGATTCCTTTAATACAATAAAGTAACCATTTTGTCCCACCTGTGCTACAAAAATGATAGGAAACCGTTTCCCCTCGCAGTTATAATTATCAGTGATTGACAACCATTTTTAAAAGGGCAACATTATTTAATTCTCCCATCACCAAAAATTAATTTTCCCTAGCGAAAGAGTTGGCAGCATGTTGCAATGCTGTGTTTAGGTAAGCTGATGTTAGACTCAAATTTAAGTCCCTGCTCTCCTATCAGATATGTACAGCAGAGGACTCTTAACAACTACAGAGAGGCCATACTGAAGCCAGTGAGGATTGCCTAGACTGATCCAATTACAGGATAGAGGCTATGATTAATAAGTGTCTAGAATATGTATTTTATGAAATGTTATATTGGCTTAATTTCTAACAAGTGAACTATCCCAATTAATGCTACTTTCTCCTTTTATACATAACACACACCTTTATTTAGTCTATTTATGATTGCCTACAAATAAAGGTTTTGCCCCCAATTTGTAATTAAATAATAGAAAATAAAATAGACCACTTTGCAGGATAGCAGGTCTGTTAGGCAAAAGGTTGATAGAAAACACACAGCGGGAGGAAAGTCATACATACCTGGTATTGAATTGAGTGTCACCCAGAAATGTTCATCAGGACTGTAGGTGTCCTTGGACCATGCAAATAAATCAATGGCACGCTGGTCTCTGAGAACAAACTCTGTAAATTCCCTTGTGACAGCAATATAAGCAGAGCCAAAGTAGATGGTCAGATTGTGTGGAGGTGGTGTTTTTCGTACAAAGGTCCACAGCATGAAAGAAAAGAAATTGTATGCATGTTCCATGTAGACATATTTGGTTCTTCTGGTAATATGGACAGGGGGCAGGCCTCCAGGAGTGATATTTTTCCCCTTATAGCCTTTCAGGTACTGAACTATTTCCTTGTTGGTTTTCAATGGGAAATCTTGTCCGCATGCATTGAGAAGGTACTTCCACTGAACCCCTGACTTCAGAAGGTCTTCCATGCAATTCAAATCCGCCTGAAGTCTGGATATTCCAGCATATACCACAAGCTCCATTTTGGAGGCAAGAAAAGCATTGGGGAAACAGTTCAGTAATTTCTCTACGTCTTGTTTAAACTCAGTAGTTGCTTTCTTATCCACATGGATACAGTACAGGTTTTGGGGCATATAAATAGCCCTGAAAAGTCTTTCAAAAGTATCAAATTCCTTATGAAGAGTTATGCTATAAGCCAAAGGAAAGGCAGCTTCTTCTGCCGAGAGAGGACTGGTGATATAATGATTTTGAATTAAGTATTTGGTGCAACTGAATCTCCTGAATGATGTTGTTAATGTGTTTTCTCGTACAAAAAATGCCTTCTCTTCAATAAGTGCATCACAGGCTTCTGCTAAGACAGAACTTGATGAGAAGTTTAACTTTCGAAGGTATTTTTGCTCAGATGAATTAGTACTATAAAGAACTATTGAAACTGAAACACTAAGAACAAGCACAACAAAGAAACAAAATATCCATGATTTCATTGTTACTTTTAAAAAATTTTTCCCACTTAAAAAGAACTGAGTACAAAATATAATTCACCTGTCAACTCTCTCTGTGGGCTTTATCTTTACAAAGATAGTGTTTCTAGAAGAGCTTGTAGCTTTGTTCTGATGCTTTCCATGTGAATGTTCTCCTTGCAGTTATATCAAATCTGTAACCATCATCTTGACAAGAAAGATATCAATGGGATTGCAGATGGAAACTCTTGTACTGCATTCTAAGATTAAACAGAGATCATTCCAAGTTAATGGCTTGGTTAAGGGAATACATATATAAATATCTTGAAATACCTGTGTCTGATCACAATTTGCCCAGACTTTTTTTTTAGAAAGCTCTTTCATTTCCTCTGTTTTATAACTACAAAATATTGTTTGAGACACAATTGCTGTTGAGGTGCATGCTACTCGTAGTACCACTAGCACTCATGAAGAGGTTATGAAGAGGTTATGTGCATTTGTTTTGTTTTCTTATAAAGCTATTTTACAACACTTCATATTTTTCCACAATAGCTTCTCTGGTTTTCTGTCTTCAAAATGTGCTCACCTGGTACTACAGCAAAATCATATCTGCTAAAGTGTGATTGCTGAGCTGTATATTGAATCAGTTTTCTCGTGGCAATACAAGATGAGGTCCAGATTAGCTAATCCTCACTTGTGCTGTACAGCACCTTTCTCCAAAAATAGCCCTATTGACTTTCATGGGACTTTGCACAGAGAAAGTCATTACTCAGTGTGATTAAGGAAGTGGGTCTGGCCCACGAAAGCTCATCATCTAATAAACCATCTTGTTAGTCTTTAAAGTGCTACATTGTCCTACATTTTGCTAAGGATACCAGAATGTGGCCCTTAAAGTAAGAAATTCTCTCCTGCTAAAATCAATATGAATTTGCCCAAATCAAATCCAGAATCTGAAAAGTTAAAGGTCCAGTTCATGGGGCTATTTCTATAAAGTTAACCTTTTTTTGAAAATATAGACTTCTCCATTTAAGGACTGGAGTATAAAATAGAGATTCTGCGATGGAAAAACAGTCCTTCAAAATACTGGACAACTTGCCTTATGGGCAAGAAATTCATTCCTGTGCAGAAGGGGTAGCAAAGATCTTTGTACTACCATAGTCCCACTTCACCTCTTACAATAATTCTTAAGGGGGACTTAAATTGTGGGTAGTTTTTATATTGGCATGGTAAGTGGGCTGGGCTGATGGATGGAAATGTTTGCTTTATCTGTAGATTGGCTATGTTTGTCAAATTTCAGCTTCTCAGAATTATACTGACAATTACATGAAATGTGGACCTTGATATATTATTGTGGTTTGAAATCTGTAGCTCTTCTATTCAGACTTGCTCTCCTGTCTGTTTTGTTCATGGTACAACAAATAAGACCTCTGGTTGGAGAAAATTATGCTTTCAAATTCCCATAGATCCGGGTTGGGTTAAAGGATCTCCGTGGGCCAGACCTAGCCTGCCAAACAGGTTGATCCAGCCCACGGAGACCCTGCTGCTCCCTCACCCAAGGCCAATTAGGGCCTGGCAGTGGAGCAAAATGCATAAAGTTTTCTCCGCCCTGCCAGGAGTGTTTAGCTCCTGGCAGATCGAGAGGAGTCCTTGACCACGCCCTCACCCCCAAGCCCTGATTGGCCTGAGGGTGGGGGGAACATGCAAAGTTTTCTCTGCCTTGCCCCTGCTCTGAGAGAAGCGTGTATTGTTTAGAAGTGCTACATGCTCCAGAGCAGGGCAGGAGGAGACTTTGTGCGCTCTCCCACCCCCAAACCCTGGTTGACCTGGTGGCAAAAGGGGGAATATGCGAAGTCTCCTCCCACTTCCAGGAGCATGTGCATCTAGGGGAAACCTGGGGGGGGGGGAGAGAAAGGTGCCCCCCCAACCCCAGATCAATTATGGTCTGGGGTTGGAGAAGCAGGAAAGTGTCCTGGCCCTATCCCTTCTGCTTGAGGCCCCGTCCCTTCTGGTGTGGCCCAGGGCCACTTAAAAAATTTCTGAATTGACCCCTGGCAAAAAATTATTGCCCATCCCTGCTGTAGATACACGAGCCAAAGACCGTATAATTTAGTAAAGCACAAAAGGACCAGCTAACACATTTTTGTCTGTAGTCAGAAAGTTCTACTAACCAGAAACTTTGCGATCCTCAATCATGAATGAATGGAATAATATGGAAACATCCTTGGTAAAATAAGAAGTCTTTAGATGTGTTAAGGGTTGTTAGAAAAAAGGCAATGATCAGTTGTTGTCAATGTCCACAGAAGATAGGACAAGAAATAATTGAATTCTTCTGCAGCAAGGGAGATTTAGATTGGGAAAACCATTCTAATTATAGTGATCATTAACTACTGCAGGAGGTTACAAAGGGATGTTGTGAAATCCCCACGATTAGATATTTCTAAGTATAGGTTAGAGGGACACCTGTCAGGAATGGTTCTGCCTAAGCATGGGGAGATGAATCTTTCTAGGGCTCTTCCAGCTCTATGTGCTTATGATTCTATGAAATTCTGGCCCCATGGAATCCAATGGGAAAACTCCCATTAACTTCAGTGGGGCCAGAATTTCAGTCCTAGTATGTAGTTGTCAGAATTGCTGCAAGGTTGGACCAGGGACACTTTCCCAAAGAACATACCAAACATAACATTCAGATCCTTGAAATCTTCATTTCCAGAGTTTGGTATGGGAGGATTTGTATCAGGTGACTGGAGTCTTTTTAGACCCACCTCTAATTTCATTTTCACACACTACAGTAGACACAGGCTTATAAGAAGCACACAGGGGCTGCGTCTAGACGGGCATGTTTTTGCGGAAATACTTTTAACGGAAACGTTTTTCTGTTAAAAGTATTTCCGCAAAAGAGCGTCTATATTGGCAAGTGCCTTTGCGCAAAAGCATCTGTGCCCACTGTAGACGCAGTTTTGCGCAAGAAAGCTCCAGCGGCCATTTTCGCCATCAGGGCTTTCTTATGCAAAAAATTCCTGTCCCTGTCTACACTGGCCCTCTTGTGCAAGAACACTTGCGCAAGAGGACTTTTTCCCGAGCGGGAGTGTCAGAGTTCTTGCACAAGAACACTGACAATCTTACATTAGCTCGTCAGTGTTCTTGCGCAAATTCTTGCGGCCAGTTTAGACAGCTGGCAAGATTTTGCACAAAAGCGGCCACTTTTGCACAAAATCTTGCCAGTCTAGATGCGCCCAGGATCTTTTTCGGTATAACAAAATAGCATATGCATTTTTACACACACACACACACACAAACACACACACACACACACACACTGCTGATGGTGGATTCTGTTGCTCGATCCGACCTATTGGCCAGATAGGTCAAGTGTGGAGGAAGGAGACGGGTTCATGTCAGTCTGGAATCATGCACCTTATGGTCTTGCATAGCAGCACTGAACCCAAAGAACTATGCAAGACACCCCATCTTTTATAGGATTTCCCTTCTATGAAAGTCTATTCATTTTGCCTTGTCAAGCTGTAATCAGTCATTCAGCATCACAATCAGTCTTCCTACAACATGTGCTTATGGGAAGAAGTTGATCTCACAGACATCTGATATCTGTATGCTGATGACCTCTCAGGAGTGTTGTCTTTCCGGCGAAGGTTGTGATTGGTTCCCTATTATGGGGTGCTTGCCTTTAGCTTCAGGGTTCATCAGTCTGCCTGGGTAATCTGCATCTTCATTGTGTTTTGATTATTATTTGGTGCGTCTGAGTCTCTGGCCCCTCCTCTAACCGTTTGAGCATGCAGTGGCCTTCACACTTATCTCCACTAAAACATTCTCTCTCTCATTCACACAAATAATACATTTACACAATTGCAGCATGGAACAAAGGGATACTTCTAGTCACTTTAACAAAGTTACAAAGTCTTTCAACATTAAATTTCTTTCTATCTACTACAAGGCCTTATCTAACACTAACATCACTATGTATTACAATATTCCATCCCTTCACTTTAACATGCTAACATCAAACAGAGCTGCAGCTAAGTTAACAAAGCTGCTTGGCTCTGTGTGAGGCCTACATCTTGTATTTAAGTTTAATCCAATCCTTTTGTTATAACATACATTTATTACAACTGACTTCTTAGTTACAAAATTCCATTCCAGTGCTACATTGTGACTGGGCCTGATTCTTCTCTCACACTAGTTTTGCAGTAAGAATGTTAAGGACTAGTCGACTATACAATAAGCAAAAGCTTATCGGACAGTCCAGTCGACTAGTCGATTTCCCCCCTCCCCCCCCCTGCCTCTATCAGATAGAGGCAGCAAAGGGGGGGAAGTGGCAGCACTGCGTGGAGCCCAGAGTCAGCTGGGGACTCCGCATGGCATTTCAAAGCATCAGCGCTGCTGAGTCCCCTCCTGTCCCCAGTCTTCATGAGGCCACTTCCACTTTGAAATGCACAAGAGTCCCTGCTGGGGACTCTTCTATATTTCAAAGCTGGCATGCAGCATGGAGTTCCACATTCCTCCTTTGAAATGTTCAAGAGCCCCAGTAGGAGGAAAGCAGAAGTTCCTATCAACTAGTCAATGGAAATTCCATCGACCACTCGACTAGTAAATTACTCGCTATTTTGTAGTAGTGATTCTTCTGCAATTTCAGCAAAATTACTCCTGGTTTTCTTCAGTGTAAGAGAGGAGAATTAAGATCTATGTTTACTGCTATGAAAGTGATCAATATGCAATAGCTTGCTTTCATTTTATTCTCTATCCTGTCACAGAAATGGAAAGTGGAATCAGACCTAAGTCTCTCTTTCATTTATCTGAAAATGGGACTTAGGCTCGTAAATCTTGTAAGGGCTTTTGAAAATTATATCCTATGACTACTCATTACTCAAAGGGATCAGAATGAAGGAAACATGCATTGTTAGTGTGATTTGTATAAAATATGACTTCAATAAAAAGCTACAGTTAAAAAAACAGACAGGGATTTGATAGCTTTTGGAACTAAATGTGAAATGAATGTCTTTGTTTTAGCTTTCCCTTAATCAGTCTCCTCATGCAAAAACATCATTTGTGCAAAATGAAAAAACCCTCAACATTCAAATTACTTAATACTTCATAGCATGAGTGTTATTCCTCCTTAATACTTCGTCAGACCCTATAGCAATGGGTGCTAAATAAGAGTCTAGAAAGTTAAATCCAAATACAGATACTGACTCGTTCATACAGTAAAAACACAATCTATTGCTTATAATCCCCTTCGGAGGTTACGTTTTTAGTATAATAATTCATGGATTTTCCGAGATATTCCTGTTGCGTTAGACTAATTATTTGATGGATAATTCCATGTCTAGTTCCAATCACTACATTTTTATTAGCAGGGAACTTGGGAAGTGATAGCAAATAACCATCTGCAGTACTGTATTTGAAGGATTAATGTCAAGTACTCTAGTGGTTTCCATAAGTACCAGGGAGAACACAACATTGATGCATATATAATATGTATGAGATCTGAGAACTAGACATAAATACCCGTGTGAAAGAGAATTATACTGAAATAAATCAAATGAATAGCTCTTACACTGAAAATGTCAGTGGCATTTCTTGTCCCAGAGTGCTATATGAAGCGTTGAAAATAAAATAAACATGACTTCTAGCTCTAGAGTTCATTTTCATATCCAGCTCAGGTCCAGTGTGGTCAAACGTTGATATCATTTGATAGCTCTTGATGGCCTATCTGTGATGTCCCTGATAAATGTTGTTCCATTGCTAAAGGACAAGTATCCATAGCATGACCACCCAGCACCCAATCACCCACACAAACTAAAAGTGTTAATAATTAATTTATACTCCTGTTAGCAGTGTCAGTGACTGACTGAGCATACAGATTCACCCCTAGAAATGGCTCTTCCAGGTAGGAAATTTTGATGGAACAATTTGGAGAGAGTTTATCCATTCTAAGCTCAAATAAAGGACTTAGTTATGGTAAATAAAGGCAGTCTCTACATGGGCATTTAATCCACTCCAATAAAAAAATTATTAACGTCCTTGCTACCACTGCAATTGGGACAACAAGCATGCTTCTTTTGACTCCTCAGTGGATTTGCTTTTTGAGACCCACCCCAAGCCTTGTGGTCTCTTGGTTTTCCGATTGTGCTTTAGAGCTGCCCTGAAAACAGAATTCCCTACTGTGGAAATTGTTGAATTTTAAAAAAATAATTGTCTTGAAATGGAACAAAAATGCCAAAATTTGAAATTTTTCATGAGGAAAATTCTCAAAATAATTAGTTTTGGTGGAACCAAAACAGAATTTGCAGCTTACTTCCTAGCTTCTTGGGCTGTTGGGCTGACAAGGAAAATAGGAAATCAGGGGACGCGGGTAGTCCTGGCCTGCTTCCAAAGGTCTGAGTGGCTCAGCAGCCTTGAATCTCACCATACAGTCTTCCAAGGAGCCATGCTCCCATGAACATTTAAATTTCATGGATCCAGCATTGTCTAATGGAAAATATGTTGGAAAGTTTTTACTGTATTTGCTTTAATCTTCACTGGTAGCTTGAAGAACTACTCTTCTGTATTTGAAGTTCAATGTGGTGTGTTACACCCAGATCTAACATTATATGCAACACAAAAATAGGGAAGGAACAAACAACAAACTCTTCAACACAATGTCTACTAAGGTCTTATGCTTGGCTTTCTCTCTGCTGTCTCCAAGGTTCTCATCAGTCACCATCAACAACTCTTATCTATTCCTCCACTAAGTCTTTCCTACAACCAGCAGTGAAAGTACTTAAAATTTCTTACAGGCATTGTCCTATTGCAACCCAGGTCCCTGTCAGCTCTTTAAATAGTGCTCTGATTTAAATTGCTCTTGCTGGAGCTGCGCACCCACTTACTTTCACCTCTGCCTACAACTCTAAGCCAGCAATAATCAAACCATCCCAAAAGAAGAAAACACAAACCTTCCTGGATGAGGGAGCACACACAAATATACCCTGGTACAATGCTGCAGGGATCCACCAACACTCTAAACAAACTGCAGGAAAGATAAAACAGCACATCAGTGAAAATGCCAGCTCAGCTCCTGTGGTCCAATAAAACAATTACAAATAATGCAGACAGGGAGTCTTCTCATGGATAGAAAGCATCATTTTTTAAACAAACACCAGAATCAGATAAAACATTTCCTGCTCTGCTGTCTTCTCGATATGCTCTTGTGCTTCAGACAAGTAATTTCCTAAGAAGAAATGGTAATTTGTTCTGTATGTGAGTTCTTAATAGCCCCAGAGATTTAAATAAAAGAGTGAGCAACTAACTGACCCCTTTAGTTGCTAGCCAAGCACATTTTGTAAACTAAGCATTCCACTTGTAGAGGCTGGTACTCTCTCCCTCTCTCTGAATAGCCACTGAGTTTACAATAGAGATGTGTGTTTATCTTAGCAGAGATCTATACAAAAAAACGCCGCCGCCATGACCGGGGTGGGGAGAGAGAGGGCGGGTGGCTGGGTAGAGAGCCCGCAGACACCACAAGCCTGCACTGAAAGGATCGGTAGGGGACCGGTCTCCTGAATGCTTGGGTATGCAGCACCCGCAGCCTGTCTGCTAAAGGCAAGGTGAGCCTCCCGGCATCAGAGAGCCGGGGGCAGGGAAAGGAAGCAGCCCAGGGCAGAGACCAGTTGGGCTGGTGGGCTGACACATTACGGCAGGATGCCCCGTCAGCTGGACCGGAGCTAGACTGTTCCGTGTCCTTAGGGCCTTGGGCTGGGGCCCGTGAGTGAGGGTAGGCCCGGGCCCCCCTTTCCCCCATCCCGCGGCCATGGGGAGACGCCGAGGCGGAAGAAGCGCCCCAACGACCCTTAGCGAGGGCGCGCAGGTGACATTAAGGCTACCCCCCAATGGGGGAGGGGCAGAAGGTACAGTCGGGCGAGACTGGTACACCGATTCTACCTGGCTTAGATATAGTTAACCCCTTAGTCCCCACTCTGCTGGTCGTTCCTCATGATCATGACAGAAGCACACAAGATCTTTTATAGAGGAAAAGGCAGTATGCAGCATTTATTGAGAATACAACAGTTGCATAAGCTCTTCAGTCATTCACACACAAACACCATACATACACAGTCCCGCCAGATGATGTTATAGTTACCAGTCCAGATTCTGTATCAATCTAGTGCCCAGTTAGATCGATTACGGAGGGAGAGCAGGGCCTTTCATTGGTCACGATCGGATGCTCATCTGGAGTTGGTGACAAGACGAACGAGATGTACAGATAGATCGGAAGGGCTACGTAGTTCGAACTATCTAGCCCGTGCCGCGTGTAGCCGCGCGGCACGGGGTTCGTACTAGCTGGCTTTTAAAAATGGTGGAGCCGGCTTTATGCTAATGAAGCCCGGGAAATTCAAATCCCGGGCTTCATTAGCAAGTTCGGTATGCATACATTACCCCGCTAGTTCGAACTAGCGGGGTAGTGTAGACATACCCTTAGGTTTTATTGTTTTATGGTTTGGGAATGGGAATCTGATGTCTGTTCATTTAGAAATGGGTTTTCCTCTTTTGCAACTAAGTTCTTGGCCCATGGTGGAGTTCCCCCCATGAGTATATGTCAGCCGACGGTCAGGGCAGTGTGTTCATGTGTGTTATACACCCAAGACTTCAGCTGCTGAGACCAGGGTCCCTTGCAGCGGGCAACCTGGAGGAGGTTGACGGGTGCCCCAATTCTGCCAACCGACGGTCAGGGCAGTGAGTGGTGTGTGTGTGTGCTATACACCCAAGACTTCAACTGCTGAGACCGGGGTCCCTTGCAGTGGGCAACCTGGGGAGGCTGAGAGGTGCCCCAACGGATCTGTCCCCTGGAAGCGACACGATTCGGGATACCAAAATAGCCCCACAGCATAAACATAGCCTTAGTGTCTGAGCAAAAGGCAGCTGAACTGTACTTAACCTGTTTGCTTGGATGAGTGGGTCTCCATCGGTGCTTCATTTGTGATAGGGCTTGCCAAGGCTGAGCCCCGGCACTTCTAGGCAGTTCACAGGTGTGGCATTTCTGGGTTGATACATTAGCAGGGCCTTATCAGATTTGTGGTCCAATTTGGTCAATTTAATGTAAAAATAATAAATGTTATTTTTTCAACTAGTTAAATCTGAAATTTCATGGTGTTGTATTTTTAGGGGTCCTGACCCAAAAAGGAGTTTTAGGGGGAGGTCCCAAGGTTATTTTAAGGGGGAGTTGCAGTACTCCTATCCTCACATCTGGGCTGCTACTGCCTTCAGAGCCGGACAGCTAAAGAGAGGTAGCTGCTGGCTGAGAACTCAGTTCTTCTGTGCTGCTGTCTGCAGAGCCGGGCCCTCAGTCAGCAGGTGCCCAAATCTGAAGACAGGGGTGCAGAAAAAAGTATGGTATAGTGTGATATTGCCCCTCTTATTTCCATGCTGCTGCTGGTGAAGCACTGCCTTCAGATCTAGACACCTCCCAACAGCCACCACTCTCTAGTCACCCAGCTCTGAAGGCAGTACAGAAGGAAACATGGTAATACCTAACCCACCCCCTTTAATAACCTTGTGATACCCCTTCAGCCCCCCCCCCCATTTGGGAAACACTGGTCGTCCCCATAAAATCTGTTTGGTATGGTGTAAAAGCACGCAAAAGACCAAATTTCACTGTGACACATTTTTAACGGTTGTGAATTTGGTAGAGCCATACAGATCAGTTATTAAAGTATCAAACCTGCTTGAGCCCTGGCACCTCTTTCATTACAAATTAAGCACTGGTCACCCTCAATTGAACTGCACTCCCTAAGCAGAAGTTTTTTGTGCCATATCCTAGTGGGGAAAAAAGGGGGAGCACAGTGGTAGGGCGTGCTTGGAATGCTGCTCAACTCCTCCCTTCCCTATGTGAAACCTTTTAGTCCATCCCATCTTAGACTTTTTGCCAGCTCCTCATACACAATACATAACAAAACACCTTCCCTACTGAGCTCTGTTACAACCTGTTGCTCATGCATTAACATGCAATACATTATATATGAACTTGATTTCGATTTGTGAATAATATAAAACCAAAGTATTCTGAACATTCTTGATGAATTAATAGGTATTTATGGCTACTCTTATCTTCATCCATAGTATGAAGATATATCTAGTTCTAGATATAATGACCGTGTCTCATTTATGCATAGAAAGAAAGCTGATGGCTTATATTTAAGACCAAAAGTTACAGTTAACTTGAAAAAGTAAAAGTGGAAACCAAAAGAGAGTAAAAACCCTACCTGGGTGCAGCACAGTTCTGAGATGGAGAGCAAGAGCACAGACAGAGCTAAGGCTGGGAATGAGAACTGAGTCACTAACCTGAGAGAGGGAAGGGCCTAATTATGAATTACCTATTGCCGAAACAACTATGAAGTCATCAAACATTTTGCTATATACATATTTATGTAAAATTAACATATTTATTCTGCTCTTAATAGGGAGTATATGGTATGGAAATGTACAGAATGTATGATATGGAAATATAGGCACTTCCAAGAATACTCTCAAACTTAGCAAGTACATTACTTAGAAAAACCCAAAATAACTGGTTGAGACCAGACCAAATAACCAGGTAGGACAGAAATAATACATGTGATAGACAATCCCAAATGCCCATAGTAACGAATTGATGCATATGATAATAAGTTGAGATCAATGATATACCGACCTATAGGAAAATGACACTTCACCATTAATAAGGGTATGTCTACACTACAGTGCTATTTCGAATTAACTTAATTTGAAATAGTCATTTTGAATTAAGCTAATTCGAAATAACGCATCTAGACACAAAATCTAATTTGAAATAGCATTTTGCTATTTCAAAATAGTGCATCCACACTGATTGGACACTGGATCGCATTTAAGGGCAGCTGAAACCAGTTCCAGCAGGGCATCAGGTCAGTAGTTGCTTTGTGTGGCTGCTGTCTGAGGCTATCTGAGGCTTGTGCTTAAAGGCACCCCCCTAGACAGCCAGTTCTCAGCTTTCCTGCTTGCTTGCCTACCTCGCTGAGGGACAGCAAATCATTTTCCTCTCTGCCTGCTTTAGTCACTCTCACTTGGGACACCACAGCACTCAGCACCATGGAGCCAGAGCTGCCCCTGGGCAATCTGGTGCTCATTTTGAATGTCTTGCTGCAAGTCTGGCAGCAATTGCTGGAGGCTGCCTGGCACCATCTGCTGCAGGCCAGCCCCCTGGCCCTGGCCCTCCCTCTACCCCCTAGGGGCCATGGAGGAGTGGTGCCCAGATGCCAGCGTGCCCCGCTGCATCTGGCATCTGGACACCAGCAGCGACTGGTGGGACCACATCGTCCTGGAGTGCTGGGAAGACCAACAGTGGACCCAGAACTTCAAGATGAAGAAGGACACCTTCCTCGAGCTCTGCGAGTGGCTTGCCTCTGCTCTGCAGCGACGGGACACACGCATGAGGCCCGGCATTCCCTTCACAAGCGGGTGGCCATACTCCTCTGGAAGCTTTCCACGCCGGGTAGCTACTGATCCATAGTGACATCTATCAAGGATGATATAGATGAGGGGTGGGCAATAATTTTGCTGGGAGCCACTTCAGAAATTTTTGTAGTGGCTCTGGGCCACATTGGAAGGGGTGGGGCCTCAAGCAGAAGGGGCAGGGGCAGGATACTTCCCTGCTTCCCCAACCTAGAGACCATGATTGGTCTGGAGGTGGAGAAGCTGGTGAAGTCTTTGCTCCACCCCCCAAGGTTCCCATGCCCCTGATGGTGGGAGGAGACTTTGCACACTCCCCCTTCTGCCCCCAGGCCAATCAGGGCTTGGAGGCGGAGGAGCATGCAAAGTCTCCTTCTGCCCTGCCAGGGGCGTGTGACACTTCTAAGCATTGCGCTCTCCTTTCAGGGCAGGGACAGGACAGAGGAAACTTCACACACTCCCCTCGTTCCCAGACCAATCAGGGTGTGGGTGTGGGTGTGGGAGAGCGCATGAAGTCTCTTCCTGCGCTACCAGAAGAACATGCTGCTTCTGAGTGCCATACTCTCC